TGAAGTGTTCTGGAACAGTGTTGTAAATACAACTTAACCACTGATTTCTAGTCGTGTCGTCTTTTGGAAGGCCAAACAAAGTAGTTTCGCTTTCACAACAAAACACAGCGTCACACACGGCGGGCTAGAGTCAGCGGAGGCGGGCGGGCTTGAGAATGGGTTTGCGGCAACCACATGTGACGACCCCGGGCTGGACTCCGCTTCGTCCACGGTGAAAGCCAATCCGGTGATCCACAGCGCAAAGTTGATGTATTTCCTCAGCTACCAGCACGGTTCAGCTCCAGGCATGACGAAGCAGATATCGTCCTCTTTTGGAAAGCCAAACAAAATAGTTTCGCTTTCACAACGAAACACACAGCGCCTTCACGACATGGCGGCGGCAACAACAATACTACAGCGAGAATAAAAGTTACACCTTCTTTCTTTGCGTGAACATTTGGGCGGCATTATGCAAATCTTCCCACATTGTGACATAGATATGTGGGGGCGTGTTAGAACGAGCCGTTTTAGGTAGGTGTGGCTGACTCTTAACTTTTATAAAGAATATCTCTTTGGATTTGAGACTTTAGTCTTTGCAACTTTACAGATCTTCATTGTGCACCAAGAGCTTGTAACACTCCAAAGAGAAAGAAAAAATTTAAATCGCATCATATGACCCCTTTAAGACGTGGATATTCATTCATCTGTCATTGGTGTTTAAGCAAGACCATTCGAAAGACTAAAAGAAACCATTTTCTGCTAATCTAGTTAGCGCTAATTTGCTTTCCCTTTTCAGAGCAACCTCTTTTCTTCTGTGAGGAACTCCATAACCAGGAAGCAGAGGAGGGCGAGACAGCCTTCCTTTGCTGTGAGCTCTCTAAACCTGGAGTTGAAGTGCAGTGGAAGAAGGGAGCAATACGATTGAGACCAGGAGACAAATATGAGATGAAACAAGATGACTGCAAAGCACAGCTACAGATCCATGACCTGACACGTCAGGATAGTGGCACATACAAGTGCTGCTCTGGAAGCCTGGTTACCACAGCATCCATTGTAGTCAAAGGTAAGAATCGTGAAATTACAGGGCCATACTATGATGTTGTGAAAAAGTATTTGCCCTCTTCTGATTTACTGTACAATATTAAAATACATATTTAAAAATAAAAACAAAATGAAATAACATAAACATAAACAAATTTGCTTATTTATTAAAGACGTTTTAATTCCTAAAGACTGAATAATTGAAAGATTACAATTTATTTTTCAGAACATCCTTTGTACTTCATCAAGATGCTTGAGTGTCAAGAAGCAGAAGAGGGCGAAACTGCCTTACTTTGCTGTGAGCTTTCCAAACCTGGGGCTGCCGTACAGTGGAAGAAGGGATCTGTGCTGCTAAAGCCTGGAAGGAAGTATGAAATAAAGCAGAATGGTAGTGAACTGCAGCTTCAGATCCATGAGCTCACAAGCCAAGACAATTGTGTCTACACATGCTCTGTTGGTAGTCTAGTGACTTCAGCTTCTCTGGAAGTGAAAGGTATGGTATATTCAATTTAGCTTCCAAGATGAGTTGTCAGAGTACACATCAATTAACATACTTATTTGCTGCATCCAGAACAACCTCTGTTTTTCTGTGAGGAGCTCCAAAAGCAAGAAGTAGAAGAGGGTGAGACTGCCATTCTGAGCTGTGAGCTCTCTAAACCTGGAGTGGAAGTGCAGTGGAGGAAGGGAATTGTTTTGCTTCGACCAGGAAACAAATATGAGATGAAGCAAGATGGCTGTAAATTACAGCTTCTGATACATGAGCTCAACAGTCAGGACAGTGGTGTCTACAAATGTTGTGCTGGTAACTTGGTGACCACAGCATCTATCGATGTGAAAGGTATGTGTTTTTCTATAATGAAAATTCTACAAAATTGTTAAATCGACTTACTCTTGAATAAAATACAGAAAAGTAGAGATGCAACAATCTATGCACTGGATAGGAAAACGAGTAAGTATGGAGCAATCCAGCATAAGATTAGCTTTATTTCAGGTAGTAGAAATTGTTAAAAATGTATTTGGTGTTCTCCAGAATCACCAGTTGTCTTCCAAGAGGAGCTCCAAAGCCTTGAAGCAGAGGAAGGTGAGACGGCCACCCTGACCTGTGAGCTCTCTAAACCTGGAGTTGCTGTGCAGTGGAAGAAGGCAGCAGTGTTGCTAAAGCCAGGCAACAAGTATGCGATGAAACAAGATGGCTGTCTACAACAGCTTCAAATATATGACCTGAAACATGAAGATAATGGCTCGTATAAATGTTGTGCTGGCAGTCTGGTGACAACTGCTTCACTTGTGGTAAAGGGTAAGGGACATAAAAATATTCAGACATAAAAATCACTCAATCATTAATCTTTTTTTTATCTTTCCAGTTGTCTTACAGTAAAGCATGAATGCATACTTTTTGTTTGCCTTCTACAGAACAACCCTTGTTCTTTTCCAAGGAGCTCCAAAACCAAGAAGCAGAAGAGGGTAGGACAGCAATATTTTGCTCTGAGCTCTCTAAACCTGGAGTTTCTGTACAGTGGAAGAAGGGAACAGTGTTGCTGAAGCCTAGTAGAAAATATGGGATTAAAGAGGATGGTTGTCAACTGCAGCTTCAGATACATGAGCTAACAGTTCAGGACAGTGGGGCCTACAAATGTTGTGCTGGTAGCCTGGTCACAACTGGATCTCTTGTGATAAAAGGTAATTCAAATGCCAATTTTCCACATTTTGACCTTTGACATAAGAATTGATTAATTTTAGCAAGAAACAAATTGACACATGAACAGATTAAAAACATGTATGCTTTTGTTTTCCCTCTACAGAAAAACCATTGTACTTCTCGGAGGAGCTCCAAAACCATAAAGCAGAGGAGGGTAAGACAGCCATATTGTGCTGCGAGCTCTCTAAACCTGGAGTTTCAGTGCAGTGGAAAAAGGGAACAGTGCTTTTGAAGCCTAGTAACAAATATGAGATTAAAGAGGTTGGCCGCAATCTACAGCTTCAGATCCATGAGCTAACAGCTCAGGACAGTGGGGCCTACCAATGTTGTGCTGGGAACCTGGTCACAACTGCTTCTCTTGTAATAACAGGTAAATGGATTATTCACATGCCTACTTTTTATATAAAGTATATGTTTAATAGAAAACAAATAGACACATGAATAGATTATAGACATATATGCTTTTGTTTTCCCTCTACAGAAAAGCCATTGTTCTTCTCTGAGGAGCTCCAAAACCAAGAAGCAGAGGAGGGTAAGACAGTCACACTGCACTGTGAGCTCTCTAAACCTGGAGATTCAGTGCAATGGAAGAAGGGAACAGTTTTGTTGAAGGCTAGTAAAAAATACGAGATAAAACAGGATGGCCGTGAACTACAGCTTCAGATCAATGAGCTAACAGCTCAAGACAGTGGGTCCTACAAATGTTGTGTTGGGAAACTTGTCACAACTGCTTCTCTTGTGGTTAAAGGTGAGTGAATTATTCAAAAACAATTTTTCCATACTTTGATGTTTGACATAATCAATTAATTAATTAATTCATACGTACTTTTTTCTGCTGAGCATGTAAAGACAGAGACATTTTTGTTTTCCTCTTCCAGAACAGCCATTGTTCTTCTCTGAGGAGCTCCAAAACCAAGAAGCAGAGGAGGGTAAGACAGTCACACTGCACTGTGAGCTCTCTAAACCTGGAATTTCAGTGCAGTGGAAAAAGGGAACAGTGCTTTTAAAGCCTAGTAAAAAATATGAAATTAAACAGGATGGCCGTCACAACTGCTTCTCTTGTGGTTAAAGGTGAGTGAATTATTCAAAAACAATTTTTCCATACTTTGATGTTTGACATAATCAATTAATTAATTAATTCATACGTACTTTTTTCTGCTGAGCATGTAAAGACAGAGATATTTTTGTTTTCCTCTTCCAGAACAGCCATTGTTCTTCTCTGAGGAGCTCCAAAACCAAGACGCAGAGGAGGGTAACACAGTTACATTGCACTGTGAGCTCTCTAAACCTGGAATTTCAGTGCAGTGGAAAAAGGGAACAGTGCTTTTAAAGCCTAGTAAAAAATATGAAATTAAACAGGATGGCCAGCAGCTACAGCTTCAGATCCATGAGCTAACAACTCAGGACCGTGGGGCCTACAAATGTTGTGTTGGGAGCCTTGTCACAACTGCTTCTCTTGTGGTAAAAGGTGAGTGAAGTTATTCAAGTGTGATATCTGTAAGTATGGTGTTTGGTATAACCATTTTTTGGACTGTTTATGTGTTCAGTTTTTTTCTGTTGAGCATGTAAAGATGTAGATATTTTTTTATTTTCCCTCACCAGAACATCCCTTGTTCTTCTCTGAGGAGCTCCAAAACCAAGAAGCAGAGGAGGGTAAGACAGTCACATTGTGCTGTGTGCTCTCCAAACCTGGAGTTTCAGTGCAGTGGAAGAAGGGGACAGTGCTTTTGAAGCCTAGTAAAAAATATGGGATAAAACAGGATGGCCGTCAGCTACAGCTTCAGATCCATGAGCTAACAGTCCAGGACAGTGGGGACTACAAATGTTGTGTTGGAAACCTGGTCACAACTGCTTCTTTTGTGGTAAAAGGTAAGTGAATTATGCAAATACCATTTTTCACAATTTGACTTTTGAAATAAGAATTAATTCATTAATCTGTTCATGTGTTTATTTGTTTTTGTTGAACGTGTGACAACATATGTTTTTGTTTTTCCCTCTCAAGAAAAGCCATTGTTCTTCTCTGATGAGCTCCAAAACCAAGAAGCAGAGGAGAGTAAGACAGCCATATTGTGCTGTGTGCTCTCTAAACCTGGAGTTCCAGTGCAATGGAAGAAGGGAACAGTGCTTTTGAAACCTAATAAAAAATATGAGATAAAACAGGATGGCCGTCAACTACAGCTTTGTATCCATGAGCTAACAACTCAAGACAGTGGGGCCTACAAATGTTGTGTTGGAAGCCTTGTGACTACTTGCTCTGTTACAGTGAATGGTATAAAACATGTTTAAGTGAAAAAGTACTTTCCATGTAGAGCACTCTTACAACCTTAATTGCTATTAAATCAGCACTTTATGATAATTCGTTAAGAGCACATGATTTGTGAATATAGCCACAAAAGGTAGAAACATGAAATGTATTTTTATTTCCCCATGTCCAGAGCAACCAATATTCTTCTGCAAGAACCTCCAAAGCCTTGAAGCAGAGGAAGGTGAGACAGTCACCCTGACCTGTGAGCTCTCTAAACCTGGAGTTGCTGTGCAGTGGAAGAAGGGAACAGTGTGGCTAAAACCTGGAAACAAGTATGAAATGAAACAAGATGGCTGTGTGCTACAACTCCAGATACGTGACCTGAAAAGTGATGATAGTGGCTCTTATAAATGTTGTACTGGTAGTATGGTGACAACTGCTTCTCTTGTGGTAAAGGGTGAGTGATTTTTTTATAGATGTAACAAAGGAATGAGTTCATTAGTCTATTCATTTGTCAATTTTTTCTGGTAGGCATGTAAACATATTTTTGTTTTCCCCCACTAGAACATCCCTTGTTCTTCTCTAAGGAGCTCCAAAACCAAGAAGCAGAGGAGGGTAAGACAGTCACATTGCACTGTGAGCTCTCTAAACCTGGAGTTTCTGTGCAGTGGAAGAAGGGAGCAGTAATACTTAAACCAGGTAAAAAATATGAGATAAAACAGGATTGCCACCAACTACAGCTTCAAATCCATGAAGTAACAGCTCAGGACAGTGGGGTCTACAAATGCTGTGCTGGAAGCCTGGCAACTAATGGTTCAGTTAAAGTGACAGGTACAGATATTATTTTAGTGAAACATGTATCTGCACTTTTTGTCCATGTAGAACTTTTTTCATACATGGAAGAAACCACACTTTTTTTTCCCCCCCGCACGCACAGAGCAACCTGTATTCTTCTGCAAGAACCTTCAAAACCTTGAATCTGAAGAAGGTGAAACTGCATTCCTGACATGTGAGCTCTCAAAACCTGGAGTTGCCGTGCAGTGGAAAAAGGGATCAGTGTTGCTAAAACCAGGAAACAAGTATGAGATGAAACAGAATGGCTCTGAATTACACCTTCAAATCCATGATTTAAAATGTCAGGACAGTGGTGTCTACAAATGCTGTGCTGCTAGGATGGAGACAACAGCTTCTGTTGTTGTAAAAGGTACATTTATGTGCATTTCCATTTTTGCCAAATTTAAATTTTTGCTTAAAACTTTACTTAGAATTCAAAACAAGTATTATTGCATTTCCTATATTTTTACACCAGAAGCTCCACCTAAAATTAAAGATATCCCTCAAGCCCCACCAAGAATAAAAGGAAAAAACATTATGGAAGAAACACACAGTGGTCTAGTCCATAAGAAACAAGCTGCAGTCATTGAGGAATCAGCCATCTCTATCTTAGAGCCATCAGAGGTTCACTTCCAGGATCTCTGTGAGAAACTCACAGATGACCAGGAAGTCAAGAGAAAATCATTGGTGAGACAAAAGGGAAAAGATGTGAGTTCCAAAATGGTTATCAATGAGTCTAGTTGCACCATGGGAGAACCTGAAATTCCTTCTCTTGCAACCAATGTACCTGAAGAACAAAGAAAGAAGGAGTTGGACACAGATTCCAAATGGGTTACTAAGATTTCTGTGGACCATCACAATGAAGAGATCTCAGGACAAGTTCAAAAGAAAACTCCAAGCATAGATACAAATGAACAGAGCAAGGAACCACCCAGAGACATTCCCCTGCCTCCACCGCGGTCAAAGGGTAAGACAACACATCCAGATGATTCACTCCAAGATCAGCACAGTGTTAAAGACCCAACTCTTGACAAGAGAGGCAAGGAACAAGATGTTGTCATTGAGGCTACTGTGGAGACCACAAAGTCATCAAAGCATGTTGACCTAACAGTGTCACTCCCTAAAGAGAATGTGTCCCAGCTACATGCTGAAACCAAAAGGCAGCCCTTTGTTTTGGAAGCAAAGATCCAAGATATGGACATAAAACAAACTGTGAATACCACTTTGAAGAAATCAGAACATGGCTTGTATACCCCAGTCTTCAAAGAGATACCAGCGAAACACATTGAATCATCTCAGGAACAACCATGTCATTTAGAAGGAAAAAATCAGTATATCAAACAGAAATCAACTGTAAAAAAGGAACCAAAGAAAGAGCAAATTGTGAACAAGGAAACAGAGTTGGAAGAATTTGCCCTGCATACAAATAAAAAGAAGGCACCAAAACAGAAATCACTGGATAAGAATGCAGCATATGAAAATCAAAGTGTCCAATCTGAAAAGAGATCAGAAACTGAAAAGGTTCAATCCATGAATGAACATCATGAAACCATAGCACCAAGTATTGCAATTACAAGCCAGAAACACAAAGAACAAATCCTTTGTGCACAAAGAGACACCACAATGCCCGTTAGAGATGTGCAGAAGGAATTACAGGCAGGTGAACTGAATTTACCACACATTGATAGTGGAGAACTGAAACATGTCAAGCAGGCTGTGGATGAACATCATGGAAAAGTACCAAAGCATGTTACCGGAAAAGCGACAAATATTACAATTGCAAGCCAATTTAAAGAAGAAATAATTCCTGCAGAGAAAGCTACAACAATGTCCATTAGGGATGTGCAAAGGGATTCAAAGGAAGTGGAACCAAACTTACTACTCATTGATAGCGGAGAGGAGAAAAATGTGAAGCAGGTCATAGATGAACATAACGTAAAAGTACCAAAGCATGTTAAGGAAAAGGCACCAAGCATTACAAGACAGCAGTTAAGAGACCAAATAATTCCTGCAGAGAAAGCTATAACAATATCTTTTAGGGAAGTGCAGAAGGCATCACAGGAAGTTGAACCAAACTTGCCACACATGGACAATAAAGATCAGAAAAATGTGAAGGAGGTTGTCCTTGAAGGACAGAAGGAAGATGTTTCCAGAGGATCGAACACTCAACCTGAGGAGATGATGCCAGAGCAGATCACAAGTGTGAATACTGACAAACAGAAGAGTTTAAAAGCAGAACACGGTGGTCCTGGTATAGACATAGATTTTGAAGATGAGCCAGAGATGCTTGAGGCTGCGATTAAAATACAAGCTGCTTTCAAGGGCTACAAAACTAGAAAGGACATGCAGCTCATCTTTAAAGAAGTGTTCAAGAACCAGAATATTGATCTTGGTGGCACTGCATTCCTAGAGTGTGTTGTGGAAGGTAAAATAAGCACTGTGCGTTGGCTTAAAGATGGAGTAGATCTCAAGCCTGGGGAAAGGCACAAAATCACCCATAATGCCTATGGTAGGTGTCTTCTAGAAATTTCCAGCTTTACAAACAAAGATGCTGGAATCTACACATGCGAAGTTGCAAACAATTTTGGAGCAATTAGTTACAATGGGAATGTGATAGTGGGTAAACCACAGAAGTCATCACAAACAATTCAGACTGCACAAACACCAGGTACAGAAATGATCTCTGAGAAAGAGGTTTTGCCAACAATTAACACTGAAGAGGAGTCATTGAGACTCGTCTATGACCTACCGGCAGATGACACCTACAGCAAGATCCAGGAGAAAAGGAGAAGTCTAATTTCAGTCAGCTCTAGTGAGTTGTCTAAATATTCTGTCTGTTTCAAAGTGTTTATTATACTTTTATGCTATATAATAAAAGCAAGATTAGGTCTGCACTGATATTAACTTCTGGCTGATGCCACTAAAGACAATAATTATTCCATGTATTATGTCATGTTCTATGACTGATTAATGGCAGCTAATCGGAAAAGATAATCTAAAATTAAATAAATACAAATTAAACAAAAAAGAAACAACTGGAAAATGTGATTAGTATTAGAATTTTGCACATCAGTAGCAGCTGAACATTTTAGTTTTTTATAATTCTGCATCCTCTTTAGTATCCTGTTACTCAGATTATGACACAGCCCCAGATGTTGAGACAGAATACCAATCTAGGTAAGTTTTACATTGTAAAGACCTCACAAGGGCTCTTAATTATAAAGAATGATAGCAGTGTAAGAGCATTTTTCACTTATTTGTACTTTGGAATAATACTTTGCAATGTTTTTTTTTAATTAATATGTTCTCAAACAGAGGAAGTAAAGAGGCAGGGAAGTCAAAAACTGAGGCTTCTACTACTCAGACTTGTGAAGAAGAAAAAATTATTAGTGTACAATCCCCAAAGAATACAGACCAGCTAAAAGTGAAAGGTCAGTTCTATTGGTACTACAAGTTATGTTTTAAAGCTCAGAGATAATTTAATAATATGCACCTAATAGCAGTTTGAGAAGCTTGATATGCTGTACCTTGTGGACTTCTGTATTGTTGCGTTTGTATTTGGCATAGGTGGTGATTCACAGAGCCAGACACCCTCACCCAAACGCATGCATTCCTACAAGTCCTCTGCAAATGCTGAGTCGTTCTCTGAGTCAGATGGAGATGAGGATAGAGGAGAGGTAGCAACTTTTTATAATAAATTAACAATAATAATAATAAACTTCAATTATTGGAACTAATAATTCAATAATTGTACATATTGTAGCTCAGAGTGCTTTAGAAACAAGTGAAAAGTAAATCATAAAATGCACTGATATGGAGCATATGTGTTTGTCACCTTGTAGACCTTTGATATTTATGTAGCCAAAAGTGATTGTCAGCCTCTGGGAGGAAACAAAGAGGCTTTTGTACTAAAGGAAGGCCAGTTTGTGGAGGTCCTGGACTCAGCCCATCCTGTGAGGTGGCTTGTCCGTACAAAGCCAACCAAGATCACACCATCCCGTCAAGGCTGGGTATCCCCTGCGTACCTAGAAAAGAAGACAAGGGTGAATTAATGTGTGTGTATATAAATGGTATAAAATGTTGTTACATTATTTTAATAATATTTCATTTTTTTCTCTAAGGAAATATTTTCATTGGCCCATGAAGCAGAGACAAAAGAATCCGCTGAGAAAGGCAAAACAGTTTTTACAAAGGATGAGCACAGTTTGATCCAAAGGTAAATCAGAAGTTCAAAGTCTTACAAGACTGATCGTTTTTAGTTTAAGTTTTTCATATATATAGAATTTTGATGTATTTTTTTGTATTTTTTTCATTATTTCAGCTTCACTTAAAGGGGTCATATGATGTGATTTCAAGTTTTCCTTTCTCTTTGGAGTGTTACAAGCTCTTGGTGCATAAAGAAGATCTGTAAAGTTGCAAAGACTAAAGTCTCAAATCCAAAGAGATATTCTTTATAAAAGTTAAGAGTCAGCCACGCCTACCTAAAACGGCTCATTCTAACACGCCCCCACATATCTACGTCACTATGTGGAAATATTAGCATAATGCCGCCCTCAGGAACAGCAGTCATGTTGATGCAGCCATATCAGGGAGACGCTGTGTTTCAGTGCAAAAGCAAGAGCACTTTATTTGGCCTTCGGAAGTAGATGCAATTAGGAATCATTGGTTAAGATTTATTTACAACAGAACAGCACAACCCAGATGTTCGATTTGTGCAACGCATTTTATGGACGACATGTTTTTGAACCTAGAAAAGTACAAGGCTGACTGTGCACAAAGGATATTTCTAAAAAAAAAAAAGGGGCAATTCCGACTTTGCTATGACGATCTGGCGCTTCTAAATCAGCGACTGTAGGTATGTTTTGTTACTAGTTTAAGTATTTGTTATTGACTGTTCAAATGCGGAGTTTTGCGCAGCGCAGAGTAACGCGTTGTGTGTGTGTGTGTGTGTGAGGCTAACATCACAGGAGAGTGAACTGCCTGTCAGAAATCATAGCACGTCAGCTGTCTTAACTGCCGCTTGTGTACTGCATCATCACTGTGTCTGTTACGCGACTCTGTTCCCCTTTCAGGCTTGAACTGATGGTAAAACTAACTACATTATTTACTGTCTTGAAATTTACTTTGAAAGCTTGAAGCTCGCGATTATGGTAAGGGGCTTTACATTTCCGACGTGTGCTTGTGGTGCACTGGGTCAGCTGGCCAATCAGAGCAGACTGCGCTTGTCAAAGGAGGGTTTTTGTTGAAAACGACGTATTTGAGAGAGGCGGGGCATAGAGGACCTACAATAATGTACAGTATTTGAAAAAGAATGTGTCTTTTGAACATTAAAGCATGTCAACATATTCTGTTACACCAAATACACAAAATAATGATCTTTAAAATAGCATCATATGACCCCTTTAAGAATGCACAGATTACAAATAACAATGTCTTTATTGTTTATTTTATTATTAGGTTTTGTGAAACCCTAAATTGACTAACTTGATGCTTTTTTTATTATTTCCAGTCGCTTGATCAAGGGACTCCTTGATGGTGAGAATAATTTTGTGCGCGAGATGATCTTCTTTGTAGAGCACCATTTACAATACTTAGAGACAAGCTCTCAAGTTCCTCTCACCATCCTAAGTCAAAAAGAGTACATATTCCTCAATATCAGAGATATTGCAAGTTTCCATGAATGGTAAATACATCTCTTTTGTTCTATAATATAATATAATATAATATAATATAATATAATATAATCCCGTTCACATTGTGGTTTTAACTTCTTTGTCCCTCTGTCCCTCCATCACAGCTGTATTCTCCCTAAGCTGGAGATGTGTTTCTCAGATGATGATGTAGCACAGTGTTTTGTCAGTTATGCACTGGACTTTGAGATGTATCTCCAGTACATTACAGGCCTGCCCCAAGCCGAGGCTTGCATCTCAGACAAAAACACACAGCATTTCTTCAAGGCAAGAGCACATACTGTTTTAAGTTTGGCAGAAAGTGATCCTTCTTTTAAATTATGTGAAGTATCTTATAATAAACCAAAATTATTTTTCTACTGTGTTCCAGCAATATGCAAACACAGAGTTGGCACATTTGGATACCAAGGTCTTCAGCGTTAGCACGTATTTGCAGAGACCCATGGAGAGAATTCAAACATACAAAAATGTACTTAAGGTGTGGTAGCTTAATCATTTTCTTTAACACACACACACACACATATATACAGTATATATATATATATATATATATATATATGAATTAGATTCAACAGCCATTCAAATGTTGGGGTCAGTCTGTGTTTAAATATATTCACACACAAACAGCAAAAAACAAAACAATATTTAAAAAGTCGTAATTATTGCTTTCAATACAGCCTGTTAGCAGCTTCCATTTTTGTGTTTTTAGGAGCTGATCAGGAACAAAGCAAAAAGCGGACAGAACTGTTGCCTGCTGGAGGATGCCTTTGCCATTATTTCCAGCTTGCCTTGGCATGCAGAGAACTTGCATCATCTGTCCATGATTGAGAATTACCCTGCACCTCTCAAGGGGCTTGGAGAACCCACTAGACAGGTACTGTATCATTATACCCTGAACCTCTTTGTTTGCTGGTTGACAGGGTGACAAGTGTGAGTAAGGATTGGAAGGTATCATTCTGCTAATGATAGTGTCAATGTGTTTCCAGGGCCATTTTACAGTATGGGAGGAAATTCCTGAGGTCAAAATCTCTCAAAGAGGACATCGCCGCCACGTCTTTCTCTTCAAAGATTGTGTTGTCTTCTGCAAGCCGAAGAGAGAACTTGGCACATACACTGAGGCCTACATATTCAAGAATAAGATGAAGGCATAATCAGATATGCATTTATTAGTATAGCATTTTTTTGTAATGCAGAACTTTTGCAGTCTATTCTACATGCTGTCCTACTGAAAACATACTGTAGCTAAATGTCACTGATGAAATTCAATCTAAATGCAGTTCAATTAAAAGGTTCACCTTGCATTTGAAAAGATATGCATATAGTACACTGCGCATGTAATATCATGAATATCATGGCAGCACTAATCACTGCAGTCCATTTCACATCCATTCCAAATGCATTTGCTTTCTTCACAGCTGAGTGATATTGATGTAAAGGATACAGTGGAAGGAGATGACAGGTCATTTGGTCTTTGGCACGAGCACCGGGGAATGGTGAGAAAAATCATTCTGCAAGCTCGATCCATCCTCCTCCGCCTCTCCTGGCTCAAAGATCTGAGAGACCTGCAGCAGCGCAGCAAACAGCCCACTTGGAGTAAGTTAGGACACAGAAGAGCAAACTTAAGAATAAATCTGTTTTGACTGCTTGAAATGATTGCATGTTTGCAACACCTCTTTGTTTTATATTTACAGCTGTCCCATGCTTTGAGCAGCATCTTACTGACTATCCAGCAAAGCTTGGACAAACTGTAAAGCTGGTCTGCAAAGTCACTGGTACACCAAAACCAGTAATAAAGTGGTATAAAGGTGAATAATACTATCTATGTGTGTGTATAAATATAGAAAGTTAACATTTACATAGTGTATAAATGAGTTCTGCTGATGTGCTGTCTTCAGATGGCCATGCTGTGAAAGAAGACGAGCATCACATTACATCAGAAGGACAGTTAGGTGCTTGTTATCTTGTACTGACTGGTGTCATAGAGGCGGACTCAGGTCAATACATGTGTTATGCAACCAATCATGCAGGGAACGCAAGCACTCTGGCTAATATCATGATTGATGGTAAGTTTTTGAGAAATTGTTATTATGGCCATCTGTTATAATGTTTGTATTCATTTCCAAACACATGTCTTGCATTTACACTACTGTTCAAAAATTGGGGTCAGTAAGATTTCTTTTACATAGTTTTATTCAGGAAGGATGTATTACGTATGTTGATCAAAAACTGTTCTTTTCATCATTTAATCCTGAAAATATTAGGCAGCACATATTTGCAAAACTGATCATAAGAAAAATGACTTGTGCATCGTAAAAGTATATTAGAATTACTTCTATAGGATCATGTGACACTGAAGACTGGAGTAAAGGCTGCTGAAAATTAAGCGTTGTCATCACAGGAATAATTTACATTTTAAAATGTATTAAAATAGAAAACAGTTATTTGAAATTGTAATCATATTTCACAATATTACTTATTTCCTGTATTTTTGATCCTGCAACCTTGGTGAGCATAAGAAACTTTTCAAAAATATTAAAAAATATTCCTGATCCCAAACTTTTGAATGATAGTGTAAGAAGTTTTAAAGGTGACACAGTAAAGAATAGGTTAAGAAAAATTGAGAAAAGGTTTTTGTTTCCCACAGTGCCTCCAAGTTTTACAACCAGATTACAGAACTCAGTGCTTGTAAAGGGACAAGATGTGCAGTTCAGGTGCTCCACACAATCTGCTCCTTTACCATCAATAAGGTACTGGTTCCATTCACTTTATTCATATTAATGTAATGGCATTTATTTGGACATAAAAAAGCTCAGACAGTCTATATGCACAGGTGGTTTAAGGATGGCATTCAGCTTGAGGATAACAAGAAACACCAGATTCAGTCTGATGTCCAAACAGGAATTCTCACTCTCACTATAAAGAGAGCTGAAGAGGCAGATCTAGGTCAATACCAGTGTGAGGTATCAGAGTCTTTTGCTACTTTTTGATGACTTTACATCATATATGGATCCCATTATATACTTTTTCTCTGTGTTTATGATACAGCTACAGAATGAAGTGGGCACTGCCAAGTGTAAAGTTGAACTCTGCCCTCCAGCACCATTACCTGTGACAGTCAGGACCCAAAAGCAATCACAAACTACCCCAACTCCAGGTAGGATGAAGAGGAATATGAACAGCAATTGCTGTTTAAGGCAGAGAAGGTGTGTATTTGGCCACTAAGTCTCACCATGTGTTGGTGGGCACCAGTAGGCTTTGAAGGAGCACATACCACAATCATCTCCAACTCCGACTTCCCACCCATTCCTCATGTTCCGTCACTGGAACACCAGATCTTCTGAATGTCCATTCCACTCCTCTAACAACTAGCTTTGTAGTCTGGAGACCATTTTCAAAATTAAAATCATATGTATTAATAAAATGTACTTTTATGTTGTGCTGAATTTCACCAACAGTTTCCCATTTTCAAGAGCTTCTTGGTCTGGAAGAAACCTTTGATGGGATCACTCAAACTATCAAAAACTTCATCGGCCATCTTCATAGAGGCATCTGCATTGCATTATGTCATTGGAAACATTTACTTACATTATAATATTGCATTTTTTATATGTACATATACAATACCTTTCAAAAGTTTGGGGTCGGTAAAATTCCTTAATGTTTTTTACAAATGTTTTGCTATACTTATCAAGGCTATATTTATTTAAAATAAAAATACAGTAAAACAGTTGTGAAATATTATTACAATTTAAAATAACTGTTTTCTATTTTAATATATTTTAAAATGTAATTTATTCCTGTGATGGCAAAGCTGATTTTTCAGCAGCCTTTACTCCAGTCTTCAGTGTCACATGATCCTTCAGAAATTATTCTAATATGCTGATTTTTTCAGGATATTTTGATGAATAGAAAATTCTAAAATTGAGAAGACTTAAAAGTTTTGAGTGTTTTGAGGCATTTATTTGAAATATAAATAGTTTATTATAAATGTCTGTATTGTTGTTTTTGCTAAATGCTAAATGAAAGTATTAATTAAATAAACAAACAAATCTTACTGACCCCAATGTTTGGAACTGTAGTGTAAGGTTTCATTTTATTTGTCTTTAATTCATTTAGTATTAAATAAAACTGCATGCTACTTCATATATCATATGTACAGTATACAGTATCATATCATGCATTTTCTTTAATATACCTTTGTGGTTATATGTTTTCATTTATACATTATGTGGTTCATAAGCAGCTTTTGAACACTTGTCAATCATGTGCATTTCCACATCCAGTTTAACACACTTTCCATCCCATTTCCTTTATAGTCACAGAGCAGGAGACTAAAGGTCTGATCAAAATCATCATGTAAGTGTCTTCACACAGATGCCTCAGCATTTTGCATGCATGCTACTTTCCCTTTTTTCTTTCTTTCTGTCTCTTTTCTTCTCCTTGTCTGTTCCACATATCTGTTTATATACACGTTCTCATGGTTTCCCGGTCAGTGCATGCTCTGCTAACATGCCACGTCCATCTTCAAAGCTGGTTATGTGCTAAGACTCAAGCCTGGCTGCAGATAGGGCCAAGTGGCTCTTTGCGCTGCTTGTGAGGCAATGTGACTGTATACATGTGATCTGTGACTTTAAACCAGTGGTCGGGAAAGGTTATGTCACTTCTTGCACTGTTTGTATACCTGTCCTTATACGGGTAAGTGTTTATATTATTTTACAGTTGAGTTTAGAGAGGAAATGAAACCAAATATTCTACTTCATCCCTTATTTAAAGCTGATTGTATGACCACAGACCTTAATTTAATTAATTAATAAGTATTGTTAACATTTTAAATTTTTTATGTTTGCATTATTTATGTAAGTACAGTTATTTATTATTGTTATTTAGTTTAAGTATTTACTTAGGGCATTATATAAAGCTTTATCTAAATTAAAAAATATTATATATTTTGAATAGATTATATTTATTTTTTACAGTATACACTACCATTAAAAGTTTTGGGTCGGTAAGATTTTTTAAAATGTTTTTGAAAGAAGTCTCTTATCCTCATCAAGGCTGCATTTATTTGATCAAAAATACTGTAGAAACATTAATATTGTGAAATATTATTGCAGTTTAAAATCATTTTACTATATTTAAAGATGCAATTTATTGCTGTGATCGCAAAGCTGTAACTCCATTCTTTGATAAATAGAAAGTGCAAAAGAACAGAATTAGTTTGAAATAGAAATCTTTTGTAAAGTTTTACATGTCTTAAATGCCTTAACCGTTAGTGTATGTAAAATGAAATTATTTTGATCAGTTTGACAATCTAAATGTTTTCAAATAGAGCCCCAGTCAGAAGGTTGGTCCAGTTCCTTTGTGAAGAACCTGTTTCATATACTCTTTCAGCCTGGAAATCCTGAACCGTAAGTTTACATACAGTCTGTCTAATCTGTGGGCTATAAACATAGTCTTTATTATGTATAGTTTAATTATACTGCATGCATGCTGTACTGTGTGGTTCTTTAAGCAGTGATATTCAGGACAGTTGATTATCTCATTTTACTGTCTGTCAATCAATTTAATGCAAAATGTGTGGTACTGAAGACCTGCTGCTGGCGTTGAAGACACACAAACACTTAAAGAACAGGATGACATGGAGAGGCAAGTACAGGCGGCACAGGAAGCGGGACCCATGGAGCCTGAGGAACACTTTTACTCAGACACAGAGGAGGAATTTCTGACAGGTACAGACTATATGAGGTTTATAATCAACTTGTGTGAAAAATTATCACCAGAGGAATTTGTCAATCTATCATTTATTTACTCAGAGCCTCCAGCTGTGCAAGTGACCATTGAAGACCTGACAGTCCGGCCTGGTCAGCCTGCAACATTCTCCGCCATTATTACTGGCCAGCCCACCCCAGATATTCAGTGGTTTAAGGTATTATAAATACAAAACGGTAACAATGCTTACTGATTTTGTTATGTTATGATGGAAACTCAATAATCTTTACTTGTATTTACTGCAGTGAAATGTATTTATTTGGTTTTCTGCAGGATGACAAGGAAATCTTATCCAGTGACTACACAGAAATATTTCAAAGTAGTGCACGTTGCTCCCTCACTTTGCTAAATACTCAAATAGAGGATTGTGGCACCTACACCTGCATAGCTATTAACAGTGCAGGACAAGCATCTTGCCTCGGCAAACTCAGTGTTGACACAGGTGAGTTGGAAAGCTTTATTATTACCATCCATTTTGTCTGTACAAACTCTAAATGTCTGTTGCCAAGGAATAGTGTGTTTAAGTAAATTAATTTGTTTCTTTTTCAGGTCCAGATGACATTGAGGAAGAGAGAGAAGTGGAGTTTGGAAAAAGACGGAAATTACATTCTGTATATGATATTCATGAAGAGATAGGGAGGTAATATCATCATATAAATCTTGACGTTTATGTAATCTAGCATTAACTCATTTTTTAAATATTAAATGTTAATGTAATATCTGATTTGTTGTAAGGCATCCTTTTTAGCCCTTATTAACATTTTTCTCTTTTTTTTCTGGATAACCAGGGGCACTTTTGGAGTGGTTAAAAAAGTCACACACAAGGCGAGTGGTGAATGTTTTGCTGCTAAGTTCCTTCCACTCAGAAGCAGCACGCGGACCAGAGTGTTCCAGGAGAGAGACCTACTGTCCCGTCTAGCTCACCGCAGACTAGCATGCCTCTTGGACTTTTTCGCTACAAGACGCACACTGGTGTTGGTTGTAGAATTGTAGGATTTGATTTTTTCTTGCTTTTTTAAATTATTCAGTGATTACCATTAGCTTTTTCAAAATGTAATCAAATTTATACATTTATTTTTTCCTCTCCCACAGATGTTCTACACAGGGGTTACTAGATCATTTGTTTTTAAAGGGATCAGTTTCAGAGAGGGAGGTAATATTGAGAAATCATTGAATGTCATTTTATACAGTAATCAAGAAAATATGATAATTATTATTCATTGTTTTAGGTCCAGTTATATATTCAGCAGGTTCTGGAGGGCATTGGATACATACACAGTATGAACATCTTACATCTGGATATCAAAGTAAGTGATTATACTTAATTTATATTAGTAGGAATTATAGTTATATTGCAGTATTATTAGTATTATAAGTGGCATTAATTTAAGTATCAATATTCACACACAGGATACTGAAAGACCATCCTTTTCTGAAATTGGACTAATTGGTGTCTTTGGTAAAGACATCTTCTGACCTGTGGCTGTCATTCTAACATTTTGTCAAACTTATTTTTAAACCTCTTCTTTGCAGACAGACAATATCCTAATGGAGTCCCCTGCGAGAGAAGACATCCAAATCTGTGATTTTGGCTTCTGCCAGGAAATTGACAACTCCAGACACCAGTACAGCAAGTTTGGGACACCTGAATTTGTTGCACCAGAAATTGTCCACCAAGAACCTGTGACAGTAGCCACTGATATCTGGTAAACAAATTACTGTGGCTTGTTGCAAATTGTGGTGAACAGAATTCCTCATATTCATAAATGCAATTCTGTCCTTTTACTGCTTGGTGAATTTTTTCATTATTAATTTATTCAGGTCTCTTGGTGTGGTTACTTACCTATGGTGAGTGCATTGAAGAAATGGAGCAAGCAGATATTTTTCTGTTTTTCTTTATGTTTTCTCTGTGTGCTGCGATGTTGTATGGCCATAAAATCTAGAAATAATTGTACTGTTAGAAAATATTAAGTGTTTTCTTGAATATTGCTTTTTTTCTGGGTAGCTTAACATGCCACTGTCCTTTCTTCGGGGAGAATGACCGTTCTACACTGATGAAGGTCGCTGAGGGCGTGCTGTACTGGGACACACCTGAGATCACAAACAGAAGTGTGGAGGCACAGGACTTCCTACATAGGGTTCTACAGCCAGACCCAGAGTAAGCTCTGCTTACTTGCATGTAATTTAAGTTTTTGTGAGCAGCAGTTGATAAACTTGCTTTGTTTCACCTTCACAGAGTGAGACCCTCTGCATCTGAGTGTTTGAGTCATGAGTGGTTTCAGGTAGGTAGTCATCTGTGTTTATACCAACAAGCAAACATAAAATAAGTTGTGTGCACAAATAAGTTAAAATTGACATTCATCAGAAATGTAATTATTTTTAGGGTTATTATGAAGATGAAGAACCTGAGGACATAAATACCAAAAATCTAAAATCTTTTATTTCAAGAAGAAAATGGCAGGTAAGATTTGAAATGACTTCCTTTGCCATTGATTATCCAGGAAAAATTTCTTCTTTCATGTCTTTTCCGTGCTTCTTCCCTTTTCTTTCAGCGTTCCTTGACATGTCTCGGCTCGGTTCTGACTTTGAGACCAATCCCAGAGTTGTTGGAGGCTCCTCTGCATGACGTTTCGATTACAGCTACAAGGGAAACCCAGGAGCTCAGCAGCACCTCCCTAAGTAGTGGATCCTCCTCAGAGTTTGATGAAGCAGATGCTTGGGACTTCTTCCAACAGGTGAGCCAGGAGGATGAAGATGACCTGGAAGAAGAGGAAGAATATGACCCATACACTCATGTGTCAAAGACGCCCACAGTTTTAAAACGGGATGAAGAAGATGTGCTTATTGCTGAGGACCGCATTCACAGTGGCCCGCTGGTGATTTCCACGTCCACACCATCAACAGAGCCAGTCAGTTTGGAGAGGAGGGACAGTAGCCCCTATCTTCACCTCTCTGAGAGAGATGAAGGATTGGATCCCATACCACGTCGTATCCTCATCAAGAGCACTTTTTATTGCAGCTCCGAGCAGCTCTCACCCATGTCTGCTCGTCACATGACGCTTCGGGATAAAATCCAAGCTAAAAAGCAAGAGCGTGGCCGTAAACCCCTCCGTGCCAGCCTCTCCGGCAGGTTAAATGAGCCCCTCATAGAGTATGTAGAAGATTCCCCAGATTTAGAAGCTAATCGTAACCAAAGAAGAGGATCAATGCATTCATCTATCCTGAAGTCAAGTTCATTTGATAGTGGAGTGAGCGCTGCCCATCCAAGCATACACACCCAGAGAAGAAGCAGGTCATTAGATGTATACACACAATGCTCTCCAACTTCAACTGAGCCAACAGTGCAAGGAGAGGATGAGCATGATGTTGAAGAAAGCCAGAAACCAGATGTCACTGATGAAGAAGAGGAGAAAACTGAAGAAGTCCAAGTGAGAAGGAAACTTTGCCGTCGCTCTGCGTTTTTGTCAAAGGGATTCACAAAGTTATGAAATTGTTTTCTGATTTTTAACCAGAAAGTCCAGTCAAACCATCCAGGCCAGATGTCATTCAGCTAGCAGGAGGAGGAGTGCTTGTGTTCTGGAAACCTGTGCCATCAAAAGAACTTGTCACATATTGTATTCAGTATAGTGTAAATGGTAAGAATACATACTGAGAATATACATCCTGTATTATGAGCATTGTTTTTCATTGTGTTTTTCCATGGTGCTTCATAAAGAAAGTTTTGTCCTTTATATTAGGTGTGGAGTGGAGAATGTTGGCAGAGAATGTTACAGACAGCTGTTTTACAGTAAATGCCCTTCCGAGAGGACCGGGATATATGTTCAGAGTGTCCCATAACACCAAGACAGGGTTGGCACCTTTTAGTGACCCTTCACCACCAGCCTTTATGGCCACGCCTTATGAAGGTAGAGACTTGCTGGAAATATTACTTATTTTTATCCAAAAGTACTTAAAATGTATTACCTCACCCTACATCTTTAAATATGTACACCCTATTATCTTTAAATATAATGCAATCATCTCCTTTCATAAAATAAATGGAATATTCTCAGAATATGGTCATATAAAGGAGTTTACTTCAAGGAAATTTAAATAAAGTTAATTTATTGTAATTTATTACAAATAATTTATTTTATTTCATTTTATTTTTTCAGACTCTCACAATCCTCTCATTAAAATGGAATCTATTGGGTCAAAGGTCACTGTACCTGGAGGTCTTGGCACTGAGAAATCTTACAGCTTCCTGTCTGAAATCAACAGGTACTTGACATCATATATATATATATATATATATATATATATATGTGTGTGTGTGTGTGTGTGTGTGTGTGTGTGTGTGTGTATATTTTGAATATTTACACCTCTTTAATAAGTTATGTAAACTCAATTTTATGGGCTAGTTCACACTGCCACAACAAACACTTCTAAAATAGTATTTGGGTTTTGTTGGACGAGTGTGTTTTTAATCTTGCTGGTGTTTGTTGGGACAGTATGAACCAGCCTTTATAGTATTTAAACTCTAATACTTTAGTATTTAAGCTTTACATAGCTTTAATGAATCCATATAAATATGAAATGAAAGCAGAGTTGTTGACTCACAAAACGCTGATTACCATTATTTCCGGTTTTATGTTGCTCATTTAAGTACATAATCTTGTGTCTCTGTTGACAGAGGCCGTTTCAGTGTGGTAATGCAGTGTGAGGATAGCCGCAGCTCTCAGATGTTAGCCGCTAAGATGACACTTTACAGACCAGAGCAGAGGCAGTTGGTTTTAAGGGAATATCAACTGCTTCGCCGACTGAACCACCCTCGAATTGTCCAGCTGCAGTCGGCCATTCTCACTCCCAGCTTCCTGGTGCTTATAGAGGAGCTGTGCTCAGGACGAGAGCTTCTTTATAACCTTGCAGAAAGGTGAGAGTAATACTGTTTAAAGGGTTCTGTTCAATTATGTAGTCCTATAAATTACAAATTATATATTGACTGATACTAGTGAAAATCATTCTCTTTAACAGTCAGTGTTGTACAAAGTTACCTTACTCTTTACTCTTGATGGCCTACAGGAATCTATATTCAGAAACACAGGTGACTGACCTACTAGAGCAGATTCTGAGTGCTGTGGATTACTTGCACAGCAGACGCATTGTACACCTGGACCTAAAGTCGGACAACATGCTTGTGACGGGCCGAAATGTAGTGAAGATTGTGGATTTGGGCTCTGCTCAGCCCTTCACTCCAGGACAGGCACTAAACATTGAACACATCAAAGAAATGACAGATAATAAAGGTATATCAATGATACTGTATTATGATCTAGAATTTGTTGCTGTGTTTTTATTCAGTCATTATAGATTACTGTTGCAAAGTTTGGGGTCAGTTTAGTCGAATTGTTTAATGTTTTGAAATGCATACCAAACTTGCATTTATTTGATCAAAAATACGTTCAAAAGCAGTAATATTGTGACATCTTATTTAATTATTATTAAATAGCATTAAAATAACCGTTTTAATCTATTTTAAAATGTAATTTATTCTTGTGATGAAATTTTTTAGTATTATCATGTTGAAAACAATTGTGCTGCTAATTATTACATTTTTACTATTACATTTGGTCAATTTAATGCATCCTTGTTAAATAAAAGTATTAATTTCTTTAAAAAAAAATCTTACTGATCTCAAACTGTTGAATGGTAAATGTACATGGAACTGCTTTCATTTTCGGGGCTGCTTGGCATCTTAAAAAAAAAAAAAGTATCCAGTATCTTATCACCAACAAACCAATTTAGTTTATGAAAAATATTTTCTGTTCTGTTTGTTAGGTTATATTGTCCTTCCTAAAGCTCCTGAAATCTTAGAAGGACAAGGAGTTGGACCTGAAACTGATATCTGGGCTGTTGGCGTTTTGGCTTTTATAATGCAAGTCCTTTCATTCAGTAAATCCATAACCATAAGGAATAGTTACAGCAACCTTAGGGCTTCCCTATCATTCAACCATTATTCATTGATTAACTCAAATTTTCATCTTTAGGTTGAGTGCAGACAGTCCCTTCCATGCTGATATGACTTGGGAGAGGGATCGAAACATCAAAAAAGGCAAGATCCAGTTTAATCGTTGTTACCCAGGTCTCTCAGAGGGAGCCATCAACTTTATGAAGAATACCCTGAGCAACAAAGCCTGGTAAAATTCACAGATGATGTTTGCTTATTTTGAGTGTTTAAATCCAAACAACAGACCGTGAGATTTCATGTCATCATAGTCGGATGATGCTTTAATGGCAGAAAACTAATCAAAACTAATATCATTCTGATTTTCCATCAGTAGACCCAAAACCAATAGTTAAATGTATCCTGCTTCTAAACTTAATGTGTGACTGAATCAGTTAATATGTGGACATAGGCAGTATTTGATGTGGCTTCATGTTTTACCAGGGCAAGACCTACAGCTGCAGAGTGCCTCCAAAACCCCTGGATACAAGGAGACCGTCCTCCCTCCAAACACACTGACTCTGTGGTCTGCTATTCAACAGACAAGCTGCAGGCCTATATCAGGGAACGAGAGGTCAAGCGAGACCACATCCGCACAAAAATTAATCTGCCCCTCCCATAATTCAAGGGACAGAACATATTTGGAGGCTGAAAGTGTTGTGTGAAACTGTGAAATGCTTTTTGTAGTTTTTCTCCCACAAGGAAAGATTATGATGAAAAGCTTTAGCTGTAATGATAATCAATTATATTTCTTTAAATATAACATTTTTCAACACATGTAATCAGGCAATCTGCACGACATGGCTTCAGTTATTGCTTTGTAATCTTTCAAAAATGACATTACTTACATAAACACTGTTTTACAGTAGTGTAAATAAATGTCATTTAAATAGATCAGTGGTAATAGGGCTTTTGGTATGCATATCTATCTATCTATCTATCTATCTATCTATCTATCTATCTATCTATCTATCTATCTATCTATCTATCTATCTATCTATCTATCTATCTATCTATCATGTGAATGTAAGATGTAGAACAGGTTATCACTTTTCACTGTTATCACTATTGAACAGGTTATCACTGCATTATATTACTTGCATTTTTTTTTTGCCCTGTTTTAAAATTATGTGGCACTGCTCTATCAGGGACAATTTTATAGTATGATTTACATGATGTGGTTAAATGCAGTATTTTATTCATCAATTATATTTTTCTCATTTTAATGCTAATTTTACTTAATGTATACAGATTTTATTGGTTTTGGATTGTAGATTTGATTAGAGTGGTAATGTCAATTTAAGGGTTACTGTCGCCTCTCTGCTGTGACGATAATAGTTTCACACAATGCATGTATGTTTTTTGTCTGCAAATTGCCATGCACTTACAATAAATGTAGTATTACACAGTAAAACTTGTTGTTTTGTTTGTTTGAATCTATGCAGTGACAAATTACATATTTAAACACAACCCCCAAAGTAAGTCCTTTTATGAACTCTGGTTGAGGACAGTTTTGTAGATGCACTTCTTCCTTTTGTCCGATAGGTTTGTCCGAACATTTGCACGAGTGTGTCAAGACGCACAGAGGAGCTGACCATCGAAGTGCAGCAATACATTGAACAAACTTATTATAGCATATTGCAAATATACACGGATGGCTCTAAAGATCCTGAATCTGGAAAAACAGCAGCAGCAGTCTACATACCCCAATTCAAAGTCACAATTTCAAAAAGAATTTCAGATCATATATCTGTTTTTACTACTGAGACAATAGCAATATTCCTAGCTCTTCAGTGGATAGAAGAAGTACAGCCAATAAGATCAGTAATTTCTACAGACTCCCTTTCAGTTTTAAATAGCTTGCTACGTGGAATTTCAACAGCAAGCCAAGATATGATTTTTGAAGTGATGCAGAGTCTATTTAGAATAAGACAATCTGGTCTTATGGTAAATTTCCATCACATATGGGTGTGGAAGGAAACGAGGAAGCAGACCATCTGGCTAAACAGGCTCTGAAACGTGCACAAATTGACATTAAAGTGTCAATGAGTAAAGCAGAAGTAAAAGGGTTCATTGCAAATGAAATAAGAAAGAAATGGCAGAAGGAGTGGGATAGTGGAACAAAAGGTAGACACTTTCATCATATTCAAGAGAAAGTAGGTCAAGAAAGAAGAAAGTTTGGCAACAGGAAAGAAGACGTTTTAATGTCAAGAATGCGTATTGGACATTGTTCGTTAAATCAGTGTCTGTATAGAATGGGGAAGCATGAAACTGGAAATTGTGACAAATGTGGTCATGCAGAATCAGTAGAACATGTACTTATAGAGTGTGATGCATATG